CTTTTTTCATTTTTTCGCGCTTACTTATACATAAACTTATGAAGTTTCTTCCTCCTCGGGGGAGGGGGGAAGAAACTTCATAAGTTTAGGTATAGGGGGGTCGTACCGAACCCCCAAAAAGGGGGGGGGGTCGTACGGGCTTCACCAAAATCCCCATCGAATGCTGTGCCCTGATTACTACATTATACTTACATTTTGACTTTTTCAAAAGATTTTTCAAGCCTTATTAACGAGCACCTCATAAACTATGCATGCTCGAAGTTACAATCAGAACGGAGCCCATTAAGATAGTTAAAACCGCCCATTCTTGTCAAATTCTTTTCACTCGGTTTTCACAGAAACGCATAGCAAAAATGAAACCCATTTTTGTGATCCTTGTATGGACCCCTACAACAAGCAACAAAATTTTTTCAAGAGCGCGCCACGACCTTGAAAGACCTCCCTTGTAAGAGTTAGCTCATAAAAATTATATACGTCTTTCACTCTGAATTCACCTTTCTTTAAACCAAACTTACCACTTTTCAAACCAAATTCACCGTACCTTTTGCAGCGAGCAGCTAATCAACCAGATCGTGCTAGACACCATTGGAAGCCCCACCCGACAGCCACGCCTACTTTAGCGCGGTCAGGAATTTTCGAAAATTTTGTTTCACAGTTTCTGCTTCTGCAACTTTTTTATTTTTACTATAAGTTAGCGGAAAATTATTTTCCGATTTGGATTCTTTCCAACTTTATTTTCATAACCATTGGATCAAAAATATAATCCCGTCATTAGCAATAATATTGGTAATGACAATTAATAATAATTGATAATAGGCAAATCACCAATCTTAATAGGCAAATCACCAATCCCCTTCTCCCAATGCTGGAGTCTGGGAGTCTAAGAACTCGGTGACTGCCGAATCACATCATCACATTCAACAGATTCTGTTTATATGCTATGCCACTCAAGGTTTTTAGGTGGAAATCTTTATTCTACGGCCTAACGTTTCGACTTGGTCGTCTGAAGAAGACGACCAAGTCGAAACGTTAGGCCTTAGAATAAAGAATAATTCTTCTCCTAAATGCGTTCCGAGGTTAGGAAATGAACACTACCTTACTAAGCGCCCAACCAACCCTAGCAGTTCCGATGGCGTGTTCGGAACTCAACCCGAAAGCCCACACAACACGAGTGCACTCACCAAGCTTCCACCGTATATCCGCAATCACATGCGGCTAGTAGTTAGTAGAGAATGAGACTTACTATAGCATCTCCTGACACGTCTAGAAGTGAGGAGACGCGCGTAGCACTGCTACTTAGAGCTCGCAATACGGTATGTATGGCAGAAGGTCATTTGTCACTGACGGACACTCATCTCGGCTGTTCATCCTAGGATTTCTGACTGAAATCCAAAACGCCTCTAACGCCTTCCTTGCCGAAATTTCCGTCTCCTGCGCCAATATCGTACACTTGATTTCAAAGTTGTTGCCGTCATGCTCCTCAGATTTATGCCTGCCAAGCGCTGTCGTGAGCCTATCACGTCTCATACCAGCTAGGTGCTCGTTTATTCGTATACCTAGCGGCCTTCCAGTCTCTCCGATATATGTGCGTCCACACGCCAGACATTCTATTTGGTAGATCACACCCGATTTAGCGCAATCACCGAGTCTGCCGTGTGGACAAATAACACAATCTCTAGATATGCACTGTTTATCGTAGCCTGTTTCGAACCAGTTGCTGCTTGATGTTGCAGCTGGGGATGTTAACCAACTGAACAACATCTTGCAACTGTGCTCTAACAATGCTTCCGTTGTATTGCAGTGCTTATCGTATCGGAGATAAAAGGAAGGCATAGCGGTAGTTTGTTTGGACGCGGGCCTTCTCGCATATTAGAGCGCTGTCTTCCAGTGCGTTGTGGTACCGTATAACCGTTCATAGCAGCTATCTCACAAGCTAGGCGACGTGATTCTTGACGTTCAGCTTCGCCTGTGCACATACTCGTTGCTGTTCTCAGCATGTTTAAGAGCACGTTTAACGGCTTGTGGATTTGCTTTTATCAGCATGTTTGAGAGCACGTTTAACGGCTTGTGGATGAGCTGACGTAGCGTGGAGCAAGATATTCTTTGAACTGGCTTTACGGTACCACTTCACGCTGACAATGCCACTGGATACTTTTACTTGCGTGTTGAGGTAAGGAAGCCAACCGTCATGTGGTGTTTCTCGTGTGAGTCTAATGTACTGCGACTGCTCATTCATTATCCGGAAACACTCGTCCATTTCGGACTGTGTTGACGTTATGATGAAACAGTCGTCGATGTATCTGCAGTACATTATCGGATGACGTAGTAGCACTGGTTCTTCAATCCTGCCCATGAAGCAAACAGCAAGAACCGGTGCTAGTCGTTGACCCATGGCCAGGCCTCTTACTTGTGAAAAGTATGTTCCTGCCCATTTATTTGAAGATGTTGCAGCCTAGGCACTCCTTGACCAACGTTATTATGTGCACTTTACTGAGCCCAAATGTTTGTATACTGCTAGCATGCCTATCGAGCATTTCGGACAATGCCTGTTAGAGCCTTTTATCTCCGATACGTACAATACAACGGAGCATTGTTAGAGCACAGTTGCAAGATGTTGTTCAGTTGGTTAACATCCCCAGCTGCAACATCAAGCAGCAACTGGTTCGAAACAGGCTGTACGATAAACAGTGCATATCTAGAGATTGTGTTATTTGTCCACACGGCAGACTCGGTGATTGCGCTAAATCGGGTGTGATCTACCAAATAGAATGTCTGGCGTGTGGACGCACATATATCGGAGAGACTGGAAGGCCGCTAGGTATACGAATAAACGAGCACCTAGCTGGTATGAGACGTGATAGGCTCACGACAGCGCTTGGCAGGCATAAATCTGAGGAGCATGACGGCAACAACTTTGAAATCAAGTGTACGATATTGGCGCAGGAGACGGAAATTTCGGCAAGGAAGGCGTTAGAGGCGTTTTGGATTTCAGTCAGAAATCCTAGGATGAACAGCCGAGATGAGTGTCCGTCAGTGACAAATGACCTGCCATACATACCGTATTGCGAGCTCTAAGTAGCAGTGCTACGCGCGTCTCCTCACTTCTAGACGTGTCAGGAGATGCTGTAGTAAGTCTCATTCTCTACTAACTACTAGCCGCATGTGATTGCGGATATACGGTGGAAGCTTGGTGAGTGCACTCTTCGTGTTGTGTGGGCTTTCGGGTTGAGTTCCGAACACGCCATCGGAACTGCTAGGGTTGGTTGGGCGCTTAGTAAGGTAGTGTTCATTTCCTAACCTCGAAACGCGTTTAGGCCTCTGAAGAAGACGACCAAGTCGAAACGTTAGGCCGTAAATAAAGATTTCCACCTAAAAACCTCGAGTGGCATAGCATATAAACAGAATCTGTTGAATGTGATGATTGGTGTACGTCGAATGACTCCATTACGCAACTTGAGTCGAAACGCAAATTACCTATTTGTTCAAGGAATTGGTTCGTGTTGGACAGGTGTGAGGGAATCATGGGCAACAATTGGCTCACAATACAATTCAAAAACCATGAGATTCTGTCAGTTGGTCCGCCTACACAGCCTATGATTGGTACTTTGTAGGTGTCCGCGGACATTGACAGCAGATCGCTAGGCGCGAGTTTGAGGGTTTTCACCAAGTTGTAAAAAGTTTTATCAGTGCGCATCAAGGAACACCTGTCTGGTAGGCGCAATAGCATGTCCACGCCGTTAGGGAAACATAGAATGGAACAGCATGGTGGCGAAGATTTTGACGTCAAGTGCACGATTTTGGCCCATGAGACGGAGATTTCAGCGAGGAAAGCGCTGGAAGCGTTTTGGATTTCAGCCGGAATCCAACAATGAACAACCGAAACGTGTTTCCCTAACGAATGATCTCCTACCGTTCATGGAGCATTGTGGATTGCATGCATGATAAGCGAAGGTGCACGTCATTGATACTACACGACGGTAGCACTCATTCGCATACTAACCTACTCACCTACTAACGTGAGCTGTAGCTTTACGCTACATTGTAGTGGTGGAACACGAGGTGAGCTTATCTTTTAACTCTTGGGTATCTTGGCGATCCTGAGATGACGTCAGAAATGCTAGAGGGGAATGTCTTTGGTGGGGTAGTGTGCAACTCTAAAGCTTTGAGCCATGTTTAGGCCTTGACAACGACGAAAGGGTCGAAACGTTGGCCGAGAATAAAGAATTCCACCTAAAAAACCTCGAGGCAGAAACATCAAAACAACTCGCAGAGTAATCATCTAATCATCACTAAACAATCTTTTCTAAAGTTTTTTGTTGAGGAAGGGTGACTGACAGATAGGTGCAAGGGTGTACCGCGTCAGTGTGAATAGTCCCAGATCCATAGTCTCAGCGCTGTTCTGTAGTCGAGGGCCGCAGGCGACTTATGGCGTATGTATGAGAACACCCGAGTCTCGTCAAAAGATTGCGGTAGCTAGCTTCAAATCCCCTTTAACAGCATAGAGAAGGGTGCCCCTCAAAATGCGGAAATGTTCAGAAGGGTGTAAGTCTTCGAGGATCATGCTCGTCTTGCGAGATGAGTGAAAACCATTTCCACGGCAGGCCAAGCCTAAATTCTCATTTCGTCCAGTCCCGCGGCATAGCATCCGTTCGTTTTCATTTGTGACCTCATCCTATCCGTGAGAAGCCACCTTTTCTACCATAGCCTATTGTTAATCCAATTCTCAACGGATCGAAAGCGGGATGCTTCAAAAAGCTCATATTGTTTTGTATGTTTCTATTATATATGAACTGAATATTTCTGAAGCAGTCTTCATCGAGGTGCAAAATTGAAGACTGTAGGAAAAATTTCATACTCAGTCTCTTAGCGTCGCTATCTGTTTCCACATTTGTTGAAGTGATTGATGAAGCTGTCCAAGATGTTGGGAGAGATGCATGGCCAGGGGACCGTCGGTAGTAGTTGCCAGGAGACAACCACCGCTCTTTCTCTCCGAGAGCGGCCTCTCAAATAGCCGGCTATGGACTGCGTCACCCGGTGGGTCGAGTCAGCACGGGTGGATCCATCTCTTGGGGTCGGATACGACAGGATCTTCGGCCTCAACCATACGACAATCTCTTGCTAATTTTTCATTAGTATCTGAGCATCACTCATCAGCATAACTCATCATTAGTGGACGCGAGGCGGTCTATACTATTCCTACTCCTACTATACTGCTGTAATATTACGCTTTCAGTGATAACCCGATTTAAGAAGTCAAAATGTGAACAAAAATCGGGCATGAATTACGCGAGGAAAATCAAAATTAAATTCAGGAAAAATCACCCCGCTAGAATATGGTCGAGGCACAATCCGTCTGCGAGGAACATCTGCTGAGAACTCAGTTTCAATGCGGACATCGCAGCCATCCGTCTCTTAACATGATAGCATTAGAGTGTCATTAAGTGGTCAATTAAGCAAACTGAGGTTCAATGAAATGATGAATACTCACGTCCAGTCGGCTTGACATCCGCGACAAACTCATTTTCCAGAAACAACGAAATCACATAAGTCAGCGCACATGCTTCCGCGTTTGTGAGCATTGGTGATTCTCTAGCCAAGTGAGAACATACTGTTCTGAATACGTTAACCTAAAACGTATCACTCCGACGACAAGTGAATTCTGCAAGGAAACGAACAGCAAATCATGGGACCAAATAAATTCACCTCCTGATTATCCTTGTAAGTGATTGTGTTAGCGGAGCCTGAAGGAAATGGGAACTGCTCAAGGTATCGCATCAGCCTCAATAAATAGCCAGAGAAGTCTTCTGAAATCGTCAGATACAGCTAGAAATTGGTGACACAGCGTACAGTGAAGTTTAATTACAGGCAGAAAAGAGCTCCAAGTCAAGTATGTGAAAAAACAAGATCCTGAGAACCAAGGGCATTCCACAATAGTAATGCATGTCCCAATACACTGATGGTGAGACGCATGCAGGAATCCACATTCATCTGTCAATAACTGATGGGACCTGACCCTTTGCTTGCAACAATTCGAAACAGTTGGGATAAACCAAGCCACCGCATCACGCTGCCAGTACGAACAGACTACTAAATTTCGGCAGTGACTACCAAAATTCCTTTTCTTCCCGAATTTCCCCCAGCCCTTCGTCTTGAACAGCCCTATTGCTTAACCATGACTGTCCTCAAGAGCGCCGTTTATAATTTCAAGCCCCAGCACAGATGAAACAATATTGCGATGTCTGGCTATCTACAAGCTGACGAAGTCGAATCGGTTTGCGTATTTCGTGCGATCCGGACGTTATCATAGGGCTACGAATTTGGATTTGGCCTCTTCGGATAGGACCATTGGTGCACCACGACCATTTCAATAATTTTCTTGCTCAAAACCCAATTGAAAGCAACGTTTTATCTTCTTTTTTCTGTGTTTTTCCCTGCAAAACAAACAACGATGTCATTCCATTCTCATGGGAGCCCTTTCTTGCCCATCTCGCAAACGTTTTCATATCCAACTATAACTCCATCCAGTTCACCTCGATCTGATCGTGATTTTACAACGCCGCTTGCTCCAACTCGCTGGCAGTTCCATTTGACATCTTGGCCGTCAACAGTCCACGTTATAAATGGAGTAGACGCAAGAGAGAGAATCCGACTCAGCCTTAGTAAATTCACTGTAGATCAGAGCGAAATGGGAACCAATAGAACAAAGCAAAACTAACTTCCTCCAATCAGAAAAAACAGCACTCAGAAAAATGGTAGTTATGTTCCGACAAACCTTGAAAGTAAACAGTTTCTCCAAATCGACCATGAATCTACTTCTGTTACATAGCGATGTGTTATCTGCAAGAACAGTTATTTGCTCCCATAAATTTTCCGTTGATTTTCGGCATCCTGTTATTTTCAACTCAACATGTCAAAAAAAACGAAAGAAAAAAAGAACATGTGGTTCTGACACTTGGATCGTTCTTTGTTGAAATTTCGGTATACGGGTAGTGATGAGCAACAAAAAGGAAGTTCCGAAAATTCTGCAGTACTTTGTCTCTTTGCTCAAAAAATCAGAAACTCCAAGTTGAAATAGGTAAGAAAACTTTTACTGGGATCGCTTTTAAGGTATCGCTCGCTCGTAGATCGAATAATGCCCACCGCACTATAAGCACTTGCACTGATTAATGTTAGGCAGCCTTACACAATCCAACAGAGTGAGAATTATCAGAAAGATAGTAGACCATAAGAGGAAATACCTTACTGAATAAATACAAAATTTCGAAATATGTTAAAAGCGGTTGAATTATACACAGGCAAAACAAACATATACTTTGATAGTTCACCAACGGCATCTAGTAAGTTCCAAAGAACAAAGGACGGTAGGAAACAGTTACTCGTCTTCTACTGCTACTGTCTCTTCTCACAGGTTATTACGCAGCGATCAAAGTTCAGGACGTAGCGATTGAGTCGTTCTACTTCAGCGTAGGCCGAGAAGCGGGCAGAATTGCTGACACCGTGAAGTACTAGCACCGTCTTAGCGTGTAAAATTCACGACAATAAGCCAGCTAGCTTAGTGAAGTAATGATTTGCATACCTGTATCGGACAGTAAATCGGATCTGGTATCTTGGATTTCGCTGCTCCGCGAGTATGTTTTTTCCGATGCTCGACGACTTCAACAGGCCCATCATCAACAGGTTGACAAGTTTTGGAACTGTGCGGATTTAACGGTTTGTTCTACAAAAGTGAGAACTAGCGAAGGACTGAACGATGTTTCAAAGACTTCTACTACATACGTGATCACCAAGAGGCTTCTTCCTCCGTACGAAATTCAGCCACTCATACGCACCCTCCTTTTCGATTTGTTCACGCTCCGAGGAAGGACCATTCGAACTCGTCAAGTCAGGCGATTTAGCAACAGATGGCGATTTCTTCTTCTCCGTTAAAGAAACTGAACAAGTAGTAATTATAGTTCTTGAAAGACTCAACCCTTGTTCTCAATAACTTAATAGGAGTGAACGGTGAACCACTTTTCTTTCCACGTTCTCTGGGGTTCCGTTGTACATTACTAATGACAGGCGTGTTGTACTCCTTCACAGGCGACGGCCGCATGTTGAAATTCACTTCAACGCGTCTGCTATCAATTGTTTCCGCCAAAGAGTCAGCTGAGTCAAAATTCTGAAACAGATCAGAACGAAAACACTTATATACATGGAAAAAGGCATAGAAGTGAAAATACCGTTTTATTTTGCGGCAACAACGCCAGCAAATTTCCATGTGAACTTGACATTCTCCTATTGAACCCTTTCTGTGCTACTGGTGTTGGAATCCGCAAATAATTGAAAGAAGTCGGAGACACAAAGGGTTGAACTGGCGGCAACCTGAAGCGTTAGAGCTACATGCTCGATGGCTTCTTTACGAGCAGAAACCTCTTGGAGGTCAGGGCACAATGAAAGGGGGCGGGCGGTTGCTGCCACGATCATTGGTGGAAGGGGTGTGAGAAGCCACGCCCCATTCAGCCCCTCCACCAATGACGTTGGCAGCAACCGCCTCGTCCCTAGTCATTGCCCCCTGCTTTAAATACACATTTTGAGATCGCTAGCAGTAACCAGAGAGATCTAAACAAAAATCCGCGTAGTGCTCGAGTGGAGGGGAAAAAAGAGTAAATGACTTTAGAAAACGCCCTAAATAAAGCGCGCTTGATTTTCAGCATTGGCTAACACGCTGTGACATACGCAGAATTATTTGGCAAGAAACCAAATAAGCACGGATGGGAGCAGCCCAGCTGCATACACAAGGGCGAGAAAATCGATCGCACAGTACCCATTGGTTCAAAGACGTCTATACTTGCTATGGGCAAGCAACCGAACATCGCAAACCTAACCTAGCGCCCTTATCACGCAATTTCAAGGGGCGAAAATGATTTACGGAACAGGGTTATCGCGCAAGTTTATCTAAATAAGCGGAAAATTACTTTGCAGAAACATCTTCTTGTCTGCGTGAACGTTCGGTGCAGGAGTTGCTTCTCACTAGACGAGGAGTCTTTGACATTCCAAACACTTCGCAATCATCAACGAAGCTGGAAGTAAAAATTCTCAGAGCATCATGAAGAGGCAAGAGCGGAAGAAAGTTATTCGAATGCATGATGAGAAACCAAGCTTATGAGTTAACTTCTACTCTGCTTACAATTAGTTTCTTCTCATTTCACTTGAAAGGACTCACACATAAAGAGCCGCGTTGTCTTTGAAGACTGCCTTCTCGCCAGGATTTGAACGGACCCTTTCTATGAACCCTTGGTCCAAAAATTTTTGCAGCAGAGTAACGCAATTTGACCTGAAAATGAAGCGTACCTGGTACAGAGAATCACGAAAAACCAGCTTGAATTTCTACGTTCTTCTCCATGATACCCGAGACTGAGGATTAATAGGTTGAGGCAATCAGCACTCTATGGAATAGAGAGTAGCACAAAGTGGGCGGGGCACGCTCCGCAATAGAAAGCCTCGGGAATCGCTCACCCTTGCGGTCTTGGCGAAATCGCTACGATCGCGATAACAATTTGGTACGTATCGATACGGACAGAACCCGAGAGCGAGCGAATCGGCACCTGTCGATTTCGCTGACTCCGCCCAAGTGAAGAATGGTGGGGCAGATTAAACGCCAGATACGTCCTTGTAGTGCGCAATTCAACCGCTCTGTTCGAGTAAGACTGGCTGCGTAATCAGAGCGACAAAGCAGAGAAGTATGAACGCACTCCTGGGTAGAGTTCACAGTTCATCCCCTGCAGCTCGCGCAATCCGTGATGGAATCGGAAACATGTCCGTATTGTGATGTGTTTATGCTTCCCGACTCCAACGAGTGGGGACCGCGCGAATTGAGCGACTCAGACATCGCGCCTTGCACCGACCGCGCTTGCCCTTGCACTACTGCACAGACTGTTTTTAGGTCAGCTTCGATCAGCAAAAGAGGACGTGGTCTCTATTGACGTTGCACTGCAGTGCGATCAGTCGATCACAATTAGCAGTGAGGAGCGATAGATTTGGCATCAAGGCAGTGTCCAGACTCGGTGATGATGCGCTGTAGCACGCGTCGACGCGCTACTACTGCAAAGGCGCCCCAATGCTATAGATGCTAACGCGGCTGCACATGGAATCTACCGGCGCTGACCCTTAAGCATTGAGATGGAATAGCAGAAGGGAGCGTGCTGCCCTCACCTAATCTGGTACCCTCCTGCTCTTCTAGCCCCCGCCCCTCCAAAGCACTATCCGCCAGTACTTACACCTACCAGACTGCGTGGTTAAGCGACGTATACTCTCCTACTCGCTCACTCACTCAAAACTTAAGCGACCAGTGCCGATCGACTCTCATGTGCGTGCGTCTATAAGTTTAGAGCGCTGTCGCAAGTAGCGCGTCGATGTGCGTTAGAGCGCGTCAACGCGCGTTATCGCCTGCCTGAAGTAGTTGGAGGGTGGGTGTGGGGATCACCCTCCACCGTCTCCATATTCCTGCACCTTGCTAAACTTTTTGTGGAAGGGATGCAAGAACGCGGCCAAATGTCCCCATTCTACCAACGAGATTAGCGGCATCAAATGTCCCTCTTCGTCCCCCCCCCCCTCCAACGGCTTTAGCGGCATAACGTTTCCCTGCTGATGAGGAAAAAAATAAAATACGGTAAACTGGAAGACGCACCTGTCAACTTGACGGCCTTCAAAAATCAGCCTAGGTAGCAGAATGAGAAGAAAATCAACCGCCTCTCTCCCACTGAAACTGTCCTCGAAATAAGTAAGCTGCCGACGATGCCGTTTGACGGGCATTTCATCCCGAAAATGACGGATTATGTTGTTCCACTAAATTTTTGATTTTAATCTAAAGGACACACATAAATGGAAGGAGAAAAGTGAATCACTGTACACACCAAAGTAGTCGCCTTGTATCTTCCGCGATGCGGTGTGCCTCCATCTTTTAGACTACTGTGCCTCAATGGCGTTCTTTCAGAACGTTTAGCACTACCTCTACTGACAGGCGTTGTTTCTTTGGACATATGATGGACTATGTGGAGTCCTCCAAAGACGAATAAATTGTCCTTGGAACTCTACAACTGCAGTGATCTGAAAAACGAGAAGCGCTTGTTGGAGACTGTATTCATTACAAAACGAGGGAGCACTGTCCGTAAAGCTAAACATTTGCAAGGGCTGTGGGGATTTGAATGACGACGCCACGTAACAAAATAAATTATCTTTGAGTTGAAGTAGCAGCTACTCCTTCCCAGAAAGGTGCACATTCAAAATGAATGTTCGCGCCAAAACGTGCATTCAAACTACTTCTTCACCGGCATTCCCCATTGATATCAATCTCATCGTTGTGGGACCAGTAGTAATGATGACGTTACCTTTAATGTTGAATTACTCAGAATTTCGTGACGGGTCTTCGTGTTTACGGCTCGAGTTTGTGATTTCAGACCACATATTTGCAAAGATTAGTCGAAGTTGTTGAAACCCGCTGTTCTGCAGGTTCATGAGCTTTCCGCGATTTCTCGTCCCACTTGTTGCATGTTGAGTACGGTAAATTAACGGTACTTTAATTTTCTTATCATGTCCATTCATTTATGAAGCACTCGGTGTGGACCCCTCTGAAAGATGGGGGACTTCTTATGAGTTATTGACGTTCTGTGTTGTGGGTTGCATGAAAATTCTGCAGCGTGACAGCACGTGTTCTTTTCATTTTCAAGAAGTCCTCCAAAGCTGTTCGGAAGTCTGTCAGTTTCCGTGTATTCTTTTGGTGCGTGTACATTGTTTGAATGGCTCTTAAGGTTGTCTATAGGCAACGACTAGAACTGGAACCGATACTAAGTGCTGTACGAGCAGTTTAACTTAGGTAATATTTATTTATTCAATGTTTTTCTTGAGAATACAAACCGTTGCGACATTTATTTTAAATATGTGTAGCGTTGTTATGGGCGCAGGTAGAAATAACGCCCGCTTGTTTACTGGTTCACGAAACCGCCTCATTAGTTGTAATATTAGTTTACAATACTTGCACGGCTCTCAAGATGCTCTATATCATTTCGAATTTCATTCACTTCTAGTGACTTTGCATAAATAACTGTCAATGCCAAAAGGTCATAGTTTTCTTGACTCGCTTCTAGAATTGAATAAAAGTTCTTTTGTGGACTCGCCTAAGGCACATCGACGTATTTATTGCTTCGTTCGAAACGTTTTGATATATGTCGCTTCGCTAATGGAATTCCCATTACAGAAAAATGCCGGTAATTACTTTTCGAACGATAACGCAGTTGTCTTTCACCATGGATCTCGAACCGACTTTAACGGTAAGTTAGCTTCCGATTCTTTGTTTCATTGACTTACATTCAAAATTCTGCGCTTTTTTGTAGTGCCATGTATTGCATAATTACCAGATAAGTTTGGTCGTGACTTCACTCCATCTTTTTTTAGTTCATTCAAAATCTTCTACTCTTCATTACTGGTTGTAAATTCTGCGCGAGTTACCCATTGACTGGTGTCACATGAACGCTTTCGACTTCTGACTTTATAGAGAGAATCTCTAGACTTTTTGTAGTGACTGAAATGATGGCAGAAAAAGAGTGGAACCGCATGAGCCGTGGGAGGCGCATGTAACTGTATTTGCAGAAAAGTCACTGCCATCCAGGCCTCGTTGAACTTATGCAGGGTTTTCAGAGGAGAAATGGCATAAAATGTGGTGCCAACTTATTAGAGCGCACACGACAGGTTGCTCTTTTGCACCCTTCTTGCCGAAACAGTCTCTGTCGGTTGGCTGGGGGCTCTTTTGAGGTAGATTCGTTATATCAGGTATAATGAGTATAGTACCGCCATAGACTGCTGATCCAGTAAGATGAAGCCCTTAACGCTGATAATGGATAGAACCAATTGTAAACCTGTGGGTGAGGACCCTTGAGATTACGACCCTCCCCCTCCCCAGCGGCCAAGTACGACCCCCCTATGGGTTTCGCACAACGATGCTGTACCCTGATTCGAGATGAATTTCCCATTCCTTTGTTCAGGGTGATACTTTTAGACGCTTTTGATGCTTCGCACAACCTTAAAGGCCCCCGTTACTTTAACAGCGCCCTATCAAATTACGCACGCAAGGTTACTAGCAAAAGCAATGGCTTTTGACAAGCTTCTCAGTTGTTTATGCAGTTCAACTTTCTATATAAACCATATACTAAACAGTCACTACTTTTTCTCCTTGAAATTCATCGTGAAAATCTTTCATGGGTTGTTTGAATACTACCTTGGCGGGTGGGGTGCAGAAGAGCAGCCTCCCGCGTCATTTCCCTCCCCCCCCCCAACTACGTTAGAACACTAAAAGTTAGCCGACCTACAGTTCATATTGTTTTCTGAAACAGTTGGTTATTTACAGAGCTTTACGCTTTTGCTAGTGTTCAACACATGTGCTTCATGTGTGCTGTTTGAAAAGAAATCTAAAACATTCAATGTAATTTGCGGAGTGGTTTTGCGTTAGTGACCTTTCTATAATGAAAAGTTCATGAACAGTTGAACGTGAAACTTCTATTATTGATGTCCTAGGGTTGCGTTATTCTAATTGGTTTCTCAAAATCGCTTTCAGATGGCTGAGGTAAAAAAGAAAATTGCTGACGAAAAAGGTGAAGATTACGCGGTTGAGCTTCAAAAATTGATCTATAATGGGAAGGCCAGTGTTTTCACATTGTGCTTGCGTTGGCAGATAACTATCGATAACATTTTGCAGATTCTTGACGATGCCACAACTATAGAGCAAGTCGACATCGACCCGAATAAATTCGTTGTTGTGATGCTATCGAGGGTGAGTATTTCATGTAGTGAGGAGTTTCTGTGGTTTCCATCTGGTTACTGGTATTCGAAAACAATTTTATAAGGTAAGTTACTGAGAAAGTTTTAGTTATCTCCTTCACAACTGCTATTTTCCACATTGAATGGGTACTTCTCCATCCCCACAGCAGATGGCTTCACTTTTCGAGCTGTTAAGACTTATTCAGCCTGAAAAAAAACATCGGCACCCTTACCATAAACTACCCCAATCTTCCGAAATCACGCCGGCTTCTTCCTCCGTGGACGCATTTTTCTTAAAAATTATCCCTAGAAGTAGTTCCACTTCCTAAATACGAATATCACATTCGCTTGGCACGAAATCGCCGACCGCTCACGTTATAGGGAACGCATCACGTGCCGTTGCCGTTCGTTGTTTTGATCCGACGCGTGTAGCGCGGACACCTGGCTGTTTGATGCCAAGCGGAGAGTCGGAGCTGTGAGAGAAACACGGCCAAGATACTACCCTTTCTGGTTGCATGGGGTAGTGATCCTTCTCCTTCACCTCAGGTTTAGCAGGGGAAGGGGGTCACTATTTTGCGGTGAGGGTGCAGACAAGAGCAGCAGGCTGCGGCAGCAAGCGGTTTTGGGTCAAGCGAATGTGATATTCAGAAGGTCCGACTATTTCTGGGGACAAGTTTCTAGCCAAATATGCCCACGGAGAAAAAATTCAGTGTGAAACTGGGCTGATTTCGGACGATTCGAGCACAATCGGAAGGTAAATGGAGCCAAAAAAATCGAACTCGTTAGTGAAAGTTCGATTCCTGAGCATTCTGATGGGTGGTTCGATCACAATGTCTTAGCCGCAAAAACTTGGAAATCAACAAAAAGGAGCTCATTTCGTTTGCAGCTTTGCAGCACAATTTCCTCTCGTTCATTTTTTATGTGGCAGTAAAAGGTGAGAAACCGGTTGTCAAAGGAGTTCTGAATTTGTTGACATCATGCCAGATTCGACAAAAACAGCTGTTTTTCGCTGTCAGTTACCGAAGTAATAAACTTCTTATCATTCTTATCCTTTCGCAGTTTGGGCCTCCACAGCCACGTCGACGCGTTGAGTAGGGGCGTAGATCAAATCAGGGCGTAGTTTTCAGGGCTGTGCTGTCAAAGGCTGAGGTCTGAAACCCCACATTTGAATGCACATACAATTTGATCATAGGCACTGACAGGGCCACTTGAAAGTTAGAAGTGATCTTTTCATTGATGGTCCACTAACGGGAGTTTAAACGCGCCAGTCAGGGAAGCAGTGTGGCCCATGTGACACTAGTTTGGAATGTGTCCTTGGTTAATTTTCACTGGCCCCGCCCTTTATCCCAGCACCTTATCACCATCTTGTCTGCGAGTTATACTGAAATTGTCTTTGATTGAGTGTGGGAATGACCAGATTCCATTGTGAGGCGGCTTCAAGTTAGAAGGCTCTGCTTCTTCCATCGTGAATATAGATGAGGTCAAGGCAGTAAATCACTTTTTTTATATTCAGAGGAAAGCTCCTGAACCTGTGCCTGCACCAACAACCACGACAGCTCCCGCGGCAGCGCAGCCTAGTGCTCCCGTTGCTGCAGCACCTGCTCCAGAAGCTAAAACAGAACCAGAACCTCAAGCACAATCTACTCCTCCTGCAGAGGTTGCCAGTTCTGCTCCTGCAGCAAAACCAGCTGCGGAGACTGCACCACAGCCTGCTCCTGCACAACAGTGTAAGTTTATTTGGAACTAATAATCTTGCCGTTGTCTTTTTTGTTTGTCATTATATAAGTGCTTTTCAATTTTGCCTTTGTCGTGAATCAGTCACTTTCTATTTTCCAAGGACATTTATTATTTTTTGAACACTTTTGTATCATTTTTTCTCCTTAGCATCCTCGAACGTTTTTGTAGAAAGCTTAGGATCAATAGTAGTTACTAGCATATTGTTTCATTTTCCTCAAATCATTCACCTTTTCCCACTGGACAGCAGTGCGTGCTGAAAACCATATTTATACTTGTCCATTTAGTGCTATATTGTGTTTTATCTCATCAAAAAAAGGACGCAGCAATGGGCAGGAAGGCCGCCCTTGCTGTGATCGAACTCAGACTACCGTTGCATGCTCTATTTTTGCAGGGATCATGATTATATCAGTGAAATCGCTGAAACCTCTTTAACCGTTAGCGGCATCCACAAAATGGCAGTTCCTTGAGCGTTTTGCCGCTCGTGGCCATATTCATAGTTTATGTCCCATCTTTCATGTCTACGACTCGCCCTTGATAAATGTTCGCATGCATGCGTGCTTAGGCATTCTTCAAAGTCTGCGGCCCAGCATTCCACTAGAAAAGAACGGTTCAGCTAAAAGCTTTCGCTTCGTATCGACTGGCGGTTGCGCGAAATGGTTTTGATACGTATCGACGGGCTTCGGCGAAGCGGTTGGGCGAAAAACGCTAGGCCGACCACCCTGGCGTTTTTCTCTAGGGCGGAGCCTGCGAAATCGATACGTATCTATTGCTTTTCGCCCAACCGCTGAACCGCGGCGGTTCGTCGAACGGGGCGGTTGGCGATTCTCCGATCAATGAGTATTTTTTGCTTTTCGCCGAACCGCCGTTTCGTCAGGGTCTCAAACTGTGATCAGTGCTTACGCGCTTGTGTGTGTGTGTGTGTACATGTGTGTGTGTGTGTGTGTGTGTGTGTGTGTGTGTGTGTGTGTGTGTGTGTGTGTGTGTGTGTGTGTGTGTGTGTGTGTGTGTGTGTGTGTGTGTGTGTGTGTGTGTGTGTGTGTGTGTGTGTGTGTGTGTGTGTGTGTGTGTGTGTGTGTGTGTGTGTGTGTGTGTGTGTGTGTGTGTGTGTGTGTGTGTGTGTGTGTGTGTGTGTGTGTGTGTGTGTGTGTGTGTGTGTGTGTGTGTGTGTGTGTGTGTGTGTGTGTGTGTGTGTGTGTGTGTGTGTGTGTGTGTGTGTGTGTGTGTGTGTGTGTGTGTGTGTGTGTGTGTGTGTGTGTGTGTGTGTGTGTGTGTGTGTGTGTGTGTGTGTGTGTGTGTGTGTGTGTGTGTGTGTGTGTGTGTGTGTGTGTGTGTGTGTGTGTGTGTGTGTGTGTGTGTGTGTGTGTGTGTGTGTGTGTGTGTGTGTGTGTGTGTGTGTGTGTGTGTGTGTGTGTGTTGTGTGTGTGTGTGTGTGTGTGTGTGTGTGTGTGTGTGTGTGTGTGTGTGTGTGTGTGTGTGTGTGTGTGTGTGTGTGTGTGTGTGTGTGTGTGTGTGTGTGTGTGTGTGTGTGTGTGTGTGTGGTGTGTGTGTGTGTGTGTGTGTCTTCCAAACGACTGTTCTTGATTTTCTTTCCTTGTTTTCTTCCCAATTTTTATCGTTTCCTTATCTGTGCAAGGGCTGACTTGAGAAAATGAGAGGGTCAAGTAATAGTCTGGCTAGTGTGTTGTCTCCTACCCCATAGAATAACTGCGCAACGCACTCCTTTCTCTATTCTGTCAAGGGCTGCCTCCCCAACGTGCTATGGAACGCTCGATTAATTGGATATTCCTAATGAAGATCGCTTTCATTGGGCCCTGTTCTACAAGTCAGAGATAGCCGGTCTCAGTCACTCTTTTATCGGGCTTATTTGTTTGTGTATACGGTTTGATTATGGGTTGATATTCAACAATAAAACGAGCAAATTCGATAATGCAGATATCACAATCTTAGTGTTACTCTTTTATTTGAGTCACCAATGTCATTTCCACTTGGTTTAGCTTTCACCGCCGATCAAGAGTCTTCTATTGATGCCATTCAAGCGATGGGATATCCTCGTGATCAGGTTCATACGCTATAAATTGCCTTTTTCCTTTCTCTCATTTTTTGTTTCAAGCTCAGACATAATTTGCGGTTTTCTGAGTATACTGATAGAATTTTTCGATAGGTCGTTGCCGCACTGCGAGCAGCCTACTGGAATCCCGATCGCGCCGTGGAATACTTATTGAGTGGAATCCCTGATGAGGAGCAAATGCCAATCGAAGTTGGAGGTGAAGAAGAAGAAAGTGAAGGAGGTAAGTTGACTTCAGGTACTTCTTTGAACAGTCACAACGAACGCTCCTAACCAAACCACGATTTACTCGCTTTTACGCTTTAATGTAAATCCTCAAATGCATTTCTTAAACTTTATGGATACAAGGACATTTCCGTTAATCTATCACGGCAGAGTCAATTTTAACCATTTTTCTGAAGGAGTAAGCACCCCTTTCCCCTGTTTATTTTTATTATGGTTTATTCTATGGTCAAATCTGCATCAGTATTCCCTCTTATACCTCCGCGTTCTTTTGACGCAACCTGTTCCACGTGTCATCATGTTTTCTTTTTGCTTATTTATTGCCTATTTGTATGCTAGTCTTCAGGTGAACCACAAGTTTCTCAGCTTGACGCCCTGCGCCATTTACCCCAAATGGATGAACTTCGTAATCTTGTGCGTTCAAATCCTGAAATTCTCCCCTCATTAATTCAGGTACGGTTATCCTAAACAGTAAACGTACTATCTTCGAAGAATGCGTGCCTGGTTTTTTTTTCAGAAAGTTATGTTCTCCTTCTTAAAGCCTGTAGAAAGGTTGACTGGGCGTTCTAGCATTTTGCAACGACCATAAGCGTAGGGAGGCGTTGAGCCCAACTCTGCTGAATAAATTTCCAAGGAACTTACGAAAATTTTCTTAAGTATAGTAACGTCCAATTTCCTCTTGAGGTCGCACGAGCGATGTGCACAACGTAGGCAAACTGTAGTATATATCAGCTGATGGTTCAGAAATCTGATGTCCCGGACATGAGTCGTTGACGCTAGCGCTCTCTTGCTTTTACGCAGAATTTCTCGTTTAATTCCATGAATTCATACGAGAAACTGGTACGAGAATTTCTTTGTATTTGGTAGAATTTCTTTGTATTTGGTAATTTCTTCGAGCAGCTTACTTAGATTCGGGGGGGGGTGGTCTATACATTCCGAAACTTATGCCATCTCTGGAAGATAGACAACGTTTGACTGCTTTACCGTTACTAGGCTGTTTTACCGCTTGGCTACTACGGTTAAAGAGAACTCCACACTTTACACCATCGCGCTACCCTACCACTTCATACGAGAATCTGTACTAGAGAGGTTATCTGAATTCGTCGGTCGGATTGTCACTCAAACTCGCGCCCCGCGTTGAATACGGCTATTATATTATTATTGTGTTATTTGTGCGGCTGAAATACTAATGATTATATGGTAAATAACGTAAGGGTTCAGAAAAAAGGCAGAAAAAAGTGGACATTGGGCGAAGCTATTGCGGGAAGCCTCTCCTCTATTTCCTTTTTACTTCCTCCTTCCTTCTTTAGCTTCCTTCCTTCTGTGACTCCCCTCCTTTACCTTCTCCCTTCAACTACTGGACTGGTAGATGCTTCGTGAAAATACTCTGGCCCCGCGGCGAGAGCACGTCTGGTTGACAAGAGCTCCGTAACCGATCAAGCAAATTGTGGTCGTCCTAACTTGTGCAAGTAGTCCACCCTTAAGTTAAGAGACTCTCCCATTTTGGCGAGCCCACAGCCAATGAGGAGGGTGCTACAGCGGCCGAAAGTTCTCATAGTAAATCCGCTGAATTGGACCGCCCACTCAACGAACGTCCTCTCTATATCTAACGTAGGGGCGCTCAGTTGTTGTTTGTTGGGGTAGCGGGCATAATTGGAATCGCATGTCCATTTTTGCCGAGCACGCTCGTGCTCATGAGTAATTCTGCTCTTCTTTATGAAATTTTCTTCATTGAGAGCACGTATAGGCAGCAGTTAATCTCGCAAGGTAAGGCTTGCTCAAGTCAGCAATGATGCGGGTTTTTTGTGCAAAAGCTTCACGTGTATTGCTTACTAAACTAGTAAATTCGTACATAAAGTTTTCGGAAGTTTCTTTTTCTGTTACGAGTTTTAATTCGATGTTTTGATTTTGTTCTTCGCTTTCTTTTCTTTGCATTTGATGGCATTTGGTACTGGGAGATTCGAAAAAGTGAGTCGGGGTTTATGAGCCAGAGGTTGCCCAGAAGGCGCAGGGCGTCGGGTCGCCAGCAATCTGGAGAACTTGTTCAATGAGGCCGCGACTGCCAGGAAGTGGTTTTGTTCATTGTACTCTTGGATATTCTTCTTGCTTTTTCTTCTTTGGGGAATCACTTATCAGCTTCTGGTTTATAGTTGACCACCCACTCTTCATATGATACTGATCGCGGAAGTTGTCTTTAGAGTATCATTTAGCATATCCAGGATAGGCAAGTGCATATTGTTGTGGGCAAACACCTGGGGGTAGACTAGGGGTAAATGGCGAAGGGTTAAGCTATGACTATTTGTCTCGTATCTAGCCCGACGTCGTCGTAGCAAGTCTTCAGAAAAACTTGAACGGCTAAAAGTTTCGAGATATGCCTCCTCCAACGTAAAGGGAGGAGGGCCGAAGAAATAATTCAACGAAAGACTAAGGACTCACGGCAACCCCACTTAGCGAACTTGTAGGGTTGGTCTCTTGCTTTTCCGAGCCTTGCTTGTGACTATAGCTTGCTTGCGAGCTCAGAAGTGAAAAAATAATACCATACTGGGAAATATTCCCGCAGAGATCCGTTCTACAGGTTTAGCAGTGAGACTTGAGCTCAACGTCTCAAGATACGTACAACAATATTTACTTCTTGAAGAGGGAATGCTCCATCTTCTGCTTTCAGCAAATTGCAGCCGTGAATCCAGAGCTAATGGAGATCATTCAAAACAATCAAGAGGAGTTTCTTCGCATATTGAATACCGCACCCAGCTCAGGTGCTGCGCAGGTACTGTATTTTAAATGGTTCATTATTCTGCTAGTTGTAGAAGTATATAAGTAAAAGTGATATTGTTGATATCTGTTCCTGATAACTGAACGGAATGCTTGGAATTCAACGTACAGTGAGCGTAGATGTGTCAATTATGAGCACGTTAAAAGTTCTTCCCGTGTTTTTTCTCCGATGCAGGTCGCATCATAACAGTGAATC